TTTTGCTCGGAAAATAATCGTTATTTCTTGAGTTTTATTTTTTGCTCAGAAAATAAAACTTAATTTTTGCGTATGCGCATGCGCATTCGTGAATAGACAGGGGGCGGCAGCATTGAACCTTTAACGCCACTGTGGAGTGGGTAATGAAAATACAGATACCAGGGCAGAAACAAAGAGAACCACATTTCTAAAGAAAAAGTGCAAAAAAGCGCATACGCATACGCAAAAATTAAGTTTTATTTTCTGAGCAAAAAATAAAACTCAAGAAATAACGATTATTTTCCGAGCAAAAAATAAAACTTAAAACGTAACCATTATTTTCCGAGCAAAAAATCAAACCTAAAACGTAACCATTATTTTCCGAGCAAAAAATAAAACTTAACGCGTAACCATTATTTTCCGAGCAAAAAATAAAACTTAAAACGTAACGATTATTTTCCGAGCGAAAAATAAAACTCAGTTAATAACGATTAAAAAGTGATTTTTATAATAAAACTTATAACCATTACGGTCCCTGAGCATAACACACCGCAATATAACATCGCATATTCTTCAGTTATATTTCCTTTTTATCCCTATCACTTTCTTCCTCTCTATCTTTGTCTCTATCGTTTTTAATGTTTATGTTTATGTTTATCTTCACCTTCATGTTCATGTTCAAGTTCATCCCCATCTTCATGTTCATCTTCATCTTCATCTTCATTTTCATCTTCATCTTCATCTTCATCTTCATCTTCATTTTCATCTTCATCTTCATCTTCATCTTCATCTTCATCTTCATCTTCATCTTCATCTTCATCTTCATCTTCATCTTCATCTTCATCTTCATATTCACCTTCGTTTATATTTAGGTTTCTTTACTTTTATTCTAATCTTTGCCTTTATCCCTTTTTTCTTCTACATATTCAACTTTACCTTCTTCCTTGCATAAATCTTAATCTTCATAAGTCTGATTCCTAAACTGCTGCTTAGCAGATTTCTTTAATTCAGTATATTAAAGCAAACATTTAGGAGACATTTCCGCCCCAACCATGTACATGTACGGCATTAGTGTTGGTGTCATTTTTAATGGATTTTTTCCCTTCATGTTAAACCAATTTGAAATTTGAACAAGTAAGAAAGTCTAAGTTCGGGCGCAGCCGAACATTAAATACCCGGCGCAAATATTAAATACATGATTTTCACCTTTCCGAAAGCTACCGCTACATGGTAAGCCGGGGTGTATCAATTTTGAGTAAATTAGCGTCCTTAAATTTCAAAATGTTTCAAGTATTTCTAAAATTTACCGTTATATGAAAAGCCATAATTTTAGTCCGATTTCAATAATTTTCATCGTTTTGCTTTTATGTAGCAAGCACAATAAAAATACCGAGTTTGGTACAAATTGGTAGAACGGTTACCGAGATACATATATGTGATCATAAGTGGGCGGTGCCACGCCCATTTTTCATTTTATTATAGACGTTTTTCCTGGTAAGGAATTGTTGCAAGCATCAATTTTGAATAAATTGGCTTTAATATTTACTGATTTATCGAAGATTTCGTATTTCTCCAAATTACCGTTATATGAGATGTGGGCGTGGTTATTGTCCGATTTTAAAAATTTTCGGCCATTTGGTATGTTATACGAAGGCCAACAACTGTGCCAAGTTTGGAAGAAATTGGTGCAGCGGTTGCCAAGATATACACATGTAACCATAAGTGGGCGTGGCTACGCCCATTTTTCAAAAATTTATAACATTCTTATTTTTCGTCTAAAAATTATTGTAAATATCAATTTTGAGTTAATAATCTTCAGTAGTTACTAAAATATCGCAGTTTTCGTATTTCTGAAAATTACCGTTATATGGGAGGTAGGCTTGGTTATGGTCCGATTTTGCCCATTTTCAATAGCATCCGTCCTACGCCCGAAAGAAGTACACGTACCAAGTTTTGTTAAGATATCTTAATTTTTACTCGAGTTATCGTGTGCACAGACGGACGGACAGACGGACGGACGGACAGACAGTCACCGCTTAATCGATTTCTCTTTTCATCCTGATCATTTATGTATACATTTGTCTATATCTACCTCGATTCGTTTTGCCTGTTACAAACAACCGTTATGTGAACAAAGTTATAATACCCTTGTGCACAAGTGCGCTCGGGTATAAAAATTGTCTGCACATCTGCATCAAAATACCTTTCTAATGATTTATACCTTCGAGGTATAGTTTAGCCGTAAAAGGGGTGTAAAGAAACATGATTGCCAATCGGAGCAAAAACAAATTTTCCGTACTAGATTGAATTTTTTATATTTGTTTCTGGCATTAATTGTTTGAATAAAATATTTTCTATTTATGCAAAATAAGAACGCGAGGCAATGTAAGGATAATATGTTACATATTTAGGTAATTTTTAGCATTTTCTATATAGTAGAACGTATCTAACACTTAATTTTTTAAAAAGCAAACCTTTTCTACTTTATATAAATTTCATTCTACATATTTTTTTAACAACTTAAGTAAAGTTCTGCATCCGCCAATTTGTACAGCCATACATAAAAAAATAACGAAGTTACTTTATTGACGCATTGCTATGAAAGAGTTACTTTTTAACAGTGAGATTTGGCTAACTTTCAATTTTTTTACTGAAACCGGTGGTGAACACTCAAAAAACGGCCCCAAGAGGGGCATAACATGAATGAAAAAAACGGAATAGATTTGAAGTCAAGCGGAGTAGAGGAGTAGATTTCAAATTCTTTCAAAACCGGAGTAAATCTAATCTGATCTTAGTGGAGTCCAAACACTAGTAGGGAACGAATTCTTTACATTTTAACACTAATGACCCACAGATGGCGGGAAAACACAGGGTTGTATCAGACTTTCGATGTGGTTTCGAGTTGGTTAGCTTTTAACCATCTCAGTGAAATGGTTAAGTGCTGTAATTTTTATACGGCGAAACTACGCTAAATCAAGTGGGTTATCGGGATAACCCACTCAATAGCCATAACTACGTGGTTAGCTCCGGTGGGGACATGGTATAAGATAAGATACCAAAAACCAAAAAACATATGGGAACCTCATTATATTGCAATATATTCGGGTTCTTCATCAAAAGTGATAAACTGATTTAATTATCATTTTATCTCGTTTATCCGAAGTTTATCAATTTATATGAACGCCGCTATTATTTTATCTTTATATATTTATATTTATTTTTATAGATTAAAAATCGTGTTTATTTTGGTTCACTTGGGCCAAATGATGTTGTCATTGATGCCACAGCAAGCGATATCATGACATGTGGTGAAATTGGGTGTGGTGAGTTGCGGTGCGGTGGAATTGGGTGTGGGAGTAACGGTGTTGTGAATTCATGTGGGGTGGGCTTAAGAGGTGTGGTGAATTTAGTTGTGGTGAGTTAAGGTGTGGTGGATTTAGGTGTGGGGAGTTAAAGTGTGGTGAGTTGAGGTGTAGTGAGAAAGTTGAGGTGTGGTGAAATAATGTGGTGAATAAGGGTGTGGTGGATTTAGGTGTGGGGGTTAAGGAGTGGGGAGTTGAGGTGTGGTGAATTAAGGTGTGGTAAATTAATGTGGGGTGAGCTCAGGTTGAGTAAGTTTTTAAGCGGTGGTGAGATGAGTTGAGGTGAGTTAAGTTAAGTTAAGGGGTTATGATCTTTATCCTTATCTTCATCTTCATCTTCATCTTCATCTTCATCTTCATCTTCATCTTCATCTTCATCTTCATCTTCATCTTCATCTTCATCTTCATCTTCATCTTCATCTTCATCTTCATCTTCAACTTCATCTTCATCTTCATCTTCATCTTCAACTTCATCTTCATCTTCATCTTTATCTTCATCTTCATCTTCATCTTCATCTTCATCTTCATCTTCATCTTCATCATCTTCATCTTCTTCTTCATCTTCATCTTTATCTCCATCTTTATCTCCATCTTTATCTTCATCTTCATCTTCATCTTCATCTTCATCTTCCTTGCTCTCATCATCTTCATCTTCTTCTTCATCTTCATCTTTATCTCCATCTTTATCTCCATCTTTATCTTCATCTTTATCTTCACCTTTATCTTCATCTTCATCTTAATCTTCTTCCTCGTCTTGGTCTTCATCTTTTTCTACGCCTTTATCTTTTCCTTTATCCTGATCTAAATATGTCCAGTCTTTTCTTCATTTACATATTTACCCCCACCATTGTTATTAGGTTAGGTATTTAAATTTTCCTTCCTCTTTGTCTTTATTTGTAGGTTTCTTTACTTTTATTTTAATTTCCATATTTATCCCTTTCTTCTTCTCCATACTCAACTTTACCTTCTTCCTTGTTTGAGTCTAATCTATTCATGTACATACAAACGTACATCTTATTCCTAAACTGCTGCTTAGCACGTTTCTGTAATTCACTANTCTAAATATGTCCATTCTTTTCTTCATTTACATATTCACCCCCACCATTGTTATTAGGTTAGGTATTTAAATTTTCCTTCCTCTTTGTCTTTATTTGTAGGTTTCTTTACTTTTATTTTAATTTCCATATTTATCCCTTTCTTCTTCTCCATACTCAACTTTACCTTCTTCCTTGTTTGAGTCTAATCTATTCATGTACATACAAACGTACATCTTATTCCTAAACTGCTGCTTAGCACGTTTCTGTAATTCACTATCAATATTAAAGCATACATTAGGGGGCATTTCCGCCCCAACCATGTACATGTATGGCATTGGTATTGGTGTAACTTTTGAATTGATTTTTTCGCTCTATTTTAAACTAATTTGAAATTTTAAAAATTGCCTGCACACACTGCCTGTTTATACCTTAGAAGTATAGTCTAGCCGTAAAAGGGGTGTAAAGGAAACATGATTGCCTATTTATATAATGATAAACAACTTCCCTAAAATGAACACAAAAAGGTACGATTAGATATTTCTAAGCTCACCTTTATGGAAAGGTGTTATCAAAGGAGATTAAATAAACAAAAAAAAAACTTTTTAATATACAACGCTTTTATAAATAGACTAAAAATTAGAAAATAACATTTCTCAGTCCCATAANAAAAGGGGTGTAAAGGAAACATGATTGCCTATTTATATAATGATAAACAACTTCCCTAAAATGAACACAAAAAGGTACGATTAGATATTTCTAAGCTCACCTTTATGGAAAGGTGTTATCAAAGGAGATTAAATAAACAAAAAAAAAACTTTTTAATATACAACGCTTTTATAAATAGACTAAAAATTAGAAAATAACATTTCTCAGTCCCATAAATAGAATTTGTTTTGATAACTTTAGATTTTGAAATTTTAGCAAGTCATTATAAACATTTATGAGATTGAAGACGAAAAACGTGGAGCGCATGCAATACAAAGCATTAGATTTAATTGACAATAGTCAAACTACATAACATAGACCTAAAATTTCTACAGAGAAAGTACAACTTTGAGATCGATTTTAAGCGGTCGTTATTCATATATCCACATTCATACATATGTATATTAACCTTCATATCAATTCAAGTCTATTACATCCGCCCCCCGCTTTTCATTTTCAATCTCATAAATGGTTTATAATGACTTTATCAAAACAAATTCTATGGGATTGGGAAATATTATTATTATATTATTTTTAGTCCATTTATAAAAGCGATGTATGTATATTAAAACAGTTTTTTTTTAATTTAATTTATTTGCTCTTTTTTAGTCTTGTCTGTATGATACATATTAAAATAATTCAACTTGCAGTGCAATCAAAAAGCGAAGTTCGAATTTTTTATTAGATATGACTTTTTGCATTTTAGGTGACATACATACATATAGCAGCAGTTAATTTCATTAAAGAAATGGCGTGTCGTCCATTTCCGCTGTAGCGTATGTAAATAGTGCATATATTTACGCGCAATGTTTAACTTCTTCTGGCGGGGCGACATCTAGAGTCTTCTAATTGTATCTCTTTGATATGATGCCTAAATAGCTTTGCTACATTTATAGTATAAATGGTGGTCTGGACATACAACATTGCAAGTTGAGAAAAGCTTTGTAAAATAGGTTTGCACGTTTACTCGCGACTAAATTAGACGGTGATATCCCAAAAACCATCCCGAACATGGGTGACTGAAATATCCGGATCGTTATTGGGAAGGTATTTCTACCCGGTTGGACGATGTACTCGTAAAAAATAAGTGGGACGTATTCTCTATTTAGGAAATGCGTTGCATGGGCTTATTTGGTACACTTGTAGTGAGGCGAGAAGTACGCCGAAAAGTTCATTACCTAGCGTCATTCGATAAAATTTCTTGTCAACTCCGTTATTTGAGCCAGGATTTTCATGCAATTTACTGCTTTTTCTTTTGAAAATTGGGATGGTTAAACGTAATTTTTGGTATACAGTTTGCTCACCATTTCCACCATTCAAGTATTTGTTCAAGTATACCATGTCTTCCCATGAAGACGATTATCTCCTCGATCTTCCTAAGAACTCCGTTACAGTTAATTGAAGGAATATTCTGGTCTGACATACCGTGAAGATTTTAGGAGGAACCAGGAGTTGTTGGCGGCGGCGTGTGGGTGGTGGTGCGGTTGTGTCTGTTATGTGGTCTGTCGTGGTTGTGGTGTGGTCTATTGTGTTGTTATTATGTGGTGCTTTGGTGTTTGTGTTGGGCTGCTCAGGTGGACTGTGGTTAGCCGTGGAGGCTGCTCTGTTTGAGCAGCAGGGGGCCACAAACGATGTGGTCCACTGCCGATGTGTCCGTAGTCCTGAGCAGACTCTGAGGTGACTCCACCCCTCGCAAACATTACACTTGACTTAGGTGGAGTTGTGGTGTAGTCGTCTCTGGCATACACAGCAGGTGTAGGTTTCTGGCCCTGGGTTTGACTCGATGCCAGCCCTAAGCAGAAGAATACGTAGCAAATGTAGCCCTACGGACGAACAACTTCTGAGATACTTCGCCAACCTAAACGGGGTTAGATCGCCAAAACAACAGCCCTTGGTCGGGTAAAACCCGAGTCATTCCGGTACGTAGAACCGGCTGTCGCGCTCGGGCAACACGCTTTGTGCTCTCGTTCGTCTGAGTGATTCTAGTTGGCCGTTCACAGCTGACAACAACAATTGTGTACAGAAGAATTTCTCAGTGTGAACGCGAAGGGCAACACCAAAAGAGAAATCGTTCCCACGACAGTCGGGTCTACGTAACCGGAACGACCCAGATTTATATCTGGCCAAGGACTGTCACTCCAGCAACACTCCCCAAAAAGTCTTTGGGGAGTTTGTATGCTGTTACAACAACAACACCCAAAAGAGAAATTGCCGAAAATGAGCAACAAAAGTTTCCCTGTGTGAACCTAGTCTAAATGGGAAGCAACGAAAAGATCAAAAGAGACAAGAAAAGTTGAAACGAATTGACGGTACGGAGGTATCTGTGCTCTTCCCCTCTCTTCTCCCCTCCTTCGCCCACGAACGAGCAGACTTGAAAGCAAAACTTGACGTGTCTGAAGGGGGACTAAGAAAACGGCTGACAAAATATTGACTCATAGGTGCAACATACATGCGGCGATAGTCGTAAAGTAGAAAAAAGAACAGTGGAAATTTTATTTTTGTTTCTTCTATAATTGTTACATTTCGGTGCGGTCGAGTGATTTCAATACGACTCAATTGAGGTTTGGTTGCATTATCTCGGTGTGTAACCTTTTGGTGCGGAGCTCTACATTTATGTATGTATATATGGCCAATGAGCTCGAAGAAGGCCTCGCTGTTATAGAGAGGAATGCGCTTCTAACAAAACCACTCTGGGTGTATGGGCCAACGCGATAGGGCAAAATCATGTGTTCAAATGTAAAGTGAGGCGACTTTTTCTCGAATCTGGAAAGAGATCGACAGCTGTAAAAGCTAAGAGCTCAACAAGCTTGTCACTAGAAAAACAAGAAAACGTTAAACCGCTTTCAAAAGGTTTTAAGACCGAATAGTTTCGGAAAAAAGCACGGAAAAAATTAAGCCATGATGAGAATGAAGAGGAAATGATCCTAGTTGAAGACAATAGATAGTTCGGTTGCAAAAATTAAATACGTTTAAACCGCAACCTAGCAAAAGCTGGGCAGTTTAAGAGGAAGTGTTGAGATGACTCCATGTAGTCGCCCTATAGTGAGTGCCGACATTTTGCCTAGCGTTTGCTTAGGTGGTAGTAGGAGATCCGACAAGGGCACGACCTTCACCCATCTGTTTAATGGATGAAATCTACTTTGTATGAAATTTAACGTGTTAGGAAACGGGACTGAGTTGGCTGCAAAAATCCTGGCCAAGATATGTACATATTTAGGCAAAAGTTATTCCAGTTCATTTGTTCTGGGTGAGACTGACTCAAGAGGGCTTTTTATGGGGTCTGACAAGGAAATATTCAGACTCAACCGAAAGAAATGTGAAGCATTACCCAACTAGCTTTAAGCGCAACGTAAGCGAGTCCAGAGCGCTGATTGTAGCTTGGCTATCAGAGTAGACATTTACCTCATTTATCCCTGTCGCGGAAATCAGCAAGATTGTTTCCTAGGTAGCAGAAACCTCTGTCTGGAGAATTCATGAGACAAAAAGATTCTATCAAGCGTAATATTTACTGATTGAACATTCTTATCAAGTATCCAGGCTTGGAAAAATTCTGCCTCTTTTTTTACCTCCTCAACTTTGTTATACGCGTCTCTCTCTCAGTCAAATATGAATATTAAGTTAACATAAAAAATCAATATCTTATTTATTTTCGAAACTATTGACCGGCTAGAGCACTATTGACCTCTCAAAAATACCTTTTCAGACATAATCCTGAAAACTCGGTTTTGTCTTTTTTGTTTATAAAATTTACTAGATTTTCATCACACTAAAATCCTCTCGAAGTAACCATTCATTTATTAGTTCATTACCACAAAGATTTTGGCGATACAAATTTAGTTTTATTTCATCGAGACTTCAAGATGCAAGAAAAAATAAATAGCATAGCGTAGTTGCCTTACCTACACATACAGACATCCCTAACTTTATACATAATAATCGTTTTTATTGTCGTGTTTTACAGGTGTCGCGCTTTTCGTAGTTGTTGTCATAATGTCTTTTGAGGCTTTCGATACCAAAGACGTGGCTGATGGCTTACAGTGGTTCTTCAGAATATTCCCACATTTTTCGCTTTCGATAAGCTGGAATAAATTGTATGTGAATTGGGCAACACGAAATACCTGCAATAGTGAAGTTCTCCAAGTTCTACCCGATGCATTGCGATGCGCTCTTTTGCCAAAGTGTTGTTGTAAGTTTCGTAAATCATTTAAAAATACGCCACTAAGCCTAATCATGTTTCGTTTAATATTTGTTATTTATAGCAACAATACCTTATTTTGCGTACGAAGAACCAGGTATTCTCCTAGAAACGTTGTACTTGGTCGGAACCGGTGTAGTATTCTTCCTTATCATCATTTCGCGGGAGTATGGCATTATCGACGAAATTATATATATGATCAGAAAACGGGCATTGTAAGTTGTAGTCTTGAATATACACACATACGTATTTAAATTCGAGCTTTATCTGCTTATGACCATGTATAGTAAACCACCACCACCTCCTGAGGATGGCTACTTTGATGATGACGTGGATAATGAAAAGAGTCGAATATTAAAAATGAGCAGCGATCAATTAGCCAATCAAAATTTGGTGTTGAATAGCGTCACGAAGTATTATGGCAAATTTCTGGCGGTAAACCAGGTGTCATTGTGTGTCAAGGAGTATGTCAACAAAAATCACTTTAACCTAATTTTCTAGCTGATTGATCATTAATACAATACTAATATTCTAGAAATGAGTGCTTTGGCCTCTTGGGCGTAAATGGTGCCGGAAAAACGACTACATTTAAAATGATGACTGGTGACGAACGCATTACCTATGGCTCGGCCTATATTAAGGGCTTATCACTGGAGTCTGAAATGAGTAAGATTTACCAGGACATCGGTTACTGTCCACAATTCGATGCATTGCTAGACGATCTCACGGGACGGGAGACACTACACATCTTCTGCCTGTTGCGTGGTGTACGTCGCAATAGGATTAGTCGCATCATAGATGACCTGGCAAGATCATTCGGTTTCACAAAACATTTGGATAAGCCGACAAAGACCTATAGTGGCGGCAACAAACGTAAATTGAGTACAGCAATCGCCGTAATCGGTAGCCCTAGTGTGATATACCTTGACGAACCGACAACGGGAATGGATCCAGCTGCGCGACGTCAACTTTGGAATATGGTCTGCCGCATACGCGACTCTGGCAAATCTATAGTGCTAACATCGCATAGTATGGAAGAGTGTGAAGCGTTATGTACACGCCTGGCTATTATGGTGAATGGCGAATTTAAGTGTATTGGTTCTACACAGCACTTGAAGAATAAGTTTTCGAAGGGTTTGATTTTGAAGCTCAAAGTAAGACGTGCGGCAGATCCGTTGAGACCATCAGCAAGAAGGTAGAGTGAATTTTTCATGCATTGTTGTTTGAATGTTTCGAAGAATTTACTACTATGATTAATATACATAATATTTAGTTCTAGAAGTGGTCGCACCGATCTTTCGCTTATGGCCATAAAGATGCAGCAGGACATTACCACGGTGAAGGAATTTGTTGAACAAAAGTTTCCACAAGCATTATTACAGTACGTATTCTAGAACTCATTTTTGAGTTTTGCACGAGGCATTTCGAAGCCTTCATCCATAATTGGGGTAGTTATTATCAGCAAGTTAACAGATTGTCTTCGGTAAATGTCGTAAGAGGCCGATGGTTATGATTGCTAACATGGTTGCCACAATTGGTAACTTTCTACCAAAATTGGTAACTTTTAAACGGTTTGGTAACTTGGTAACTTTCGAATACTGGAAATATTTGAATTACAGTGGCAGCACCAAGGGCTGCACTTTTAAAACAACTTTCGAATTTTTGCGATAAATTTTGAATTCTACCCTCCACATTTTAATACTGGCCATCTGGCAATAGTTGCGTTTGTTTACTCATTTCCAGTAAAATACAGTAAAAGTTTTTACGAATTTTCATGTTTTGGCGTTTTCGTACGCAAAAACTTGCAAAGTAGGGGAAATTGAGAGAGCGAAAAATGACAGTTGAAGTTGCAAGTTTTTACTAGATTTGACTGGATAAATTTTTACTTGTAAGAATTTGCCAATACAAAAAACAGCTGGTCGCATGTTGCTGGATGTAATTTAAACTAATAAGGAAACTGTTTGTGGGTTTTTATTGTTGAATTTCACAAAATAAACCTATTTAAATATTAAATATATTGTTTTATTAGGAATTTGCTGCGAATAAACAACCAATTTATCAGCTGTTCATGAAACTTGCAAATTATTACTGGAATAGCGTTCGCGTACTTTTTGGCAAATTTTTTCTATGAGAGCGAATTCTTAGAAATAAAGTTACTGGAGAGTTGCTGGCAAGTTACTGTATAATTTGTAAACAAACACAACTAATTTTTGGTAAGGTCCATAACGTCCCGTTTCTGCCTTAACTTCGTATCTGCAATAGATGTATTTTAGAGAGAGAGTAAGAAAAAATGCTTCATTTCTTCCCCTAGGATACAATAAACGCATTTTTTACTTAATATTTCTGATTCCACTAACAGTAGTGAGAACCCTCATTAAGTCTTTGTTCTATTTTCAAATAGTGTGACGCTTAAAGAGCTGTTATAAGTGGTAATATTAGTTTTCCCAAAAATTTTAGATACGTGGTTAAGGCAGAAACGGGACGATAAATCGTTTTGATTATTCCGGTAAAAAAAAACGTGCTTTTTACCAGACCCATCTACCGACATGTATTTCGACACCTACCGACATATATTTCAACGTACAGTAAATTATGAAATCCCGAAAAAATTAGCAATTTTCGCAATTTACTCGAAATTTTGTACGAGTCAAACGAACGGTTAAAAGTACTCGCCACTTTTTTGTGTGCCGGTGCTATTATTCCGTGAGTCGCAGGTCCAAGTATCGGCACATTCCGAACGAAAAATTACACTGAAAATGGCACAACGCCGAAACCGGTTTGTCTCCAAACAAAATTTGACAAGGGATGATGAAAATCGTTCCACATTACATCATACTCCTACCCTGTCGGAAACACCAACAACGAAAATGAGAACAACTGCACATGCAGTAATTACTTGCTAGAAAATTGTTTCTATTAAAAAAAATTATTATAATTGTCAATAGCATTTTCATCTTGATAGTTTATCAAGAAAATAGATTTAAACTTCTGTGCAAGAATTGGGAGTTCTTGATAAATAATCAAAAATTGACAAATTATAAAAATATTGAATTTATTAAGTGCACAGAACCGGGCTGTAAGTATATACATATTTGTTATGAAATATAGCAGTGTTATTCAGTATATTTTGTTCTCACTGAAGAAGTGAAGATTTTGGTAGTGACGATTTGTATTGTTTCAGTATGAACTTTTAAATACCATAATTATAAACCTGTGCTTGGGAATTGACCAAAATGAGGGAGCGGTAGATATCACTGCGTTTGATTAATGAGTGTTCCCGGCCTAAACAGGATGCTTTTTCTGGAATAACAGTGTGTGTTTCAGGAAAAATTCCAGTCATTCTGGCGTTCTATTGAAGATATCGATAAATTATCCCTCACCGGGACTAAAGTCCTCCTCTGGGAATTACTTGAGTGATAGGTACTTAACGGTATGGCTTCAAAATCAGATTTCAAAGCCGAGAATAATCAAAAAGGGGGTTCAATAGAGTGGTGTCCTTCTCATACTGCTTAACTACTATATCTTCAAACTCCCTCCACCACCAGAGGGTATACCCTTGATTCCATACGCTGATGATTGCTCTATTTTGGTGTCGGACGATGACATTGTTTCGTGAATATTTCTCATGCCTTTCCAATTCATTATTCATTTCGCGCATGTGAAAGTAAATCAAGGAATTTGACATTTTTCAAATGCCATTGATATTTGTTCATGATGCAATAATGAATGGTGTTGTACGTTGTGACAGCTCGAAATCGAACTACCTTAGGTCAATATTGTATTTTGGAAGTACAAGAAAAACGGGAAGAAAAAAAACCTTTTAGTTGAAAAAGTACTAAATTGTATGCCTTCTCAACAGCGTTCCGATTATCTGAATAGGTATATATATGGCTTGGTAGTATCATAAAGTTGTAGATAATTAAAGTAATCAACGATGGTCAAAAGAATTTAGTGACCCTTATATCACTAAAACCCTGTTTACAACATTAGTTAGGCCGATTCTGGAATACGGCTCGGTGGTTTGGAATCCAAGGTATCAAATTTACTCAGACAAGATAGAATCAATTCAAAAACAATTCCTACTTTTTGCTTTAAGAAATTTCCGATGGGATTCTCAATATAGTCTTCCACCTTATACGAGTCG